GAACTTTAATCGTAATTTATTATTTTTTCCTATTGTTTGTAGATAAATGGCTTCATCGTCATCCTCACAGCCTCAGCAGTACAGTGTGCATCCCGGTCCGAGGGATGAGAGAGGTGATTGAAGTTTGTTCCACTTATTTTGTTCCACAATATTTTGTTCCACAATATTACCAAATGTCTGCACATTACACTTATTTTGTTCCACTTATTTTTGTTCCACAATATTACCAAATGTAAATATTATCATGCACCATTTCATATCCAAATGAAGCCATCATACTAGCAAGTTAAAAATCATCATTAACCTGAATTTTATTAGGACCATCTGTTTTTCGGTGCACGAAGGAGACTCTTGTATCAGATACCCTCAACGTCTTAGGTTCATCTTCACTGCTGAACTTCAATAACAAATTTTGACCAACTCTGTTTGTAAAAGTCATGAATGGTCGAACAGAGATAACCTGATAAAGCGCAAGATAAGTCACGTAGAATAATACACAAGTGCACTTTGTTCAGTAATATAATTACCTTAGTCGGGATGGATTGGTAGGGGCAAGGTTTTGACGATACAAATAGTTGCATACAACTGCCATCAGCATTATAAGCAAAAAGGTCCAGGCAGCCATCCTATAAATCAACCACCAAGATGAGCACACACAGAAAGATATAGCAATATGTGAAGTACTATCAGTTACCATGTCCCCTAGCGGAGTAAGATCTTTAACAGGGCCAAATTGCTCCCCTCCAGATTGACCTATAGATGCAGAGAGACCCAGAGATTTGAAGTTCAATGCAGATGCAATCGTATAACCTTCACGCATCTCCTCCTCGGTAATTTCCTCAAGAATGACTTCTTTTACCCTTTTGGTGTGAAAAGACAATGGATTCTTCTTCACTCTCTTAGCACCGATATCTACAAGCTTGAAAGCAAGGGGTGGGCATCTTGCAATTCCAAACCAATATGGCGAGTACACTTTAATGATCCTTGGCTGTAGAGAATGTTCATTGGTATTGTTATGCTCAAGAATGAGTTGAACAATCCTGCACAGATAGATGTTCACGTATTAAAGCACGCGAACTAAAATGCTTTCTTATCCAGCGGGAAGATATGTATAATCTACAACTACAACTTCAAACCTTCCAGAAACTGAACTTCTTAAGCTTATTGTCTTTGATGGTGGATCAGTAGGATGGGACAGAAGAACAGCTTCCTATAACAGAATATTTTTAAAGATCAGTACGCAAAAGAATATACATCCAAAGGGGTTAAAATTATTATTTTTATAAGAAAGAAAAACATAAAATAAATTCTCATACTGACATGTATTGGCAGCCATCCTCTTTGCGGAAGCAAAGAGAAGTATAAAGGATTTCTTATGTCAACATTATACACGTTGACACTCTCTCCAGGATGAGATAACCCTCTATAACAGGAAAGAAAATGACCACTGGCTTGCATTTCAAGAAGAGAAATTTCAGCCATAAGAGGGAGATAGTTAGTTATTGATACAGGAGCCTTAACCACAATTGTCCAGTCCTGTATTGGATTAAAATGAATGTCCTTTGCAATTTCAGTTGCTTGGATGCTCAAGCAAAACCACACACCACGTGAACTATTTGATGAACTTCCACTAGTTTCGGGGCAATACAAGAGCTTCTCAGACTCTGACAGAGATGAAATACAAATTTCTCGAACTTCTTTCGAACTCTCCACATCCTGTGACTGAGCAGGCAGATCCACCACAGAACTCCAAGAATAGTTATCATCTCCCAAATTTGAAGGTTTTAGATGCAATACATACAAGGCAGACTGAGATAGGCAAGGCAAAGGAAGAGGTGCTGTGTCCCCAGGTTGTATGGGCCCAACAACTACTTTCGACTCATCTGTTGCAAAGTCACTTCCATGAGATGGGCTACCATTCCTTTTATCATCTCCTAAGTTTCCACCATTTGCAGACTCAAGACTGAGGCAAAAATCTAGAGTAACATCAGTGTTGTTACGGACGGATACAAGGGATCTGATGCTGACATATCTGTTTCCATCATTTACGCTCACTTCACTTGCAACTAAATCATTGCCTAATTGCCAACATGCTGAAGGTGAACCATAATTTAACCTTACTATGGTCCATGGCCCATCCGCAGATGGGCTAATCTGAATCGAACCAAATTGTCTATTCCCACCATCTGCTTTTTCAAAATTCTCACTTTCAGATCTTTGTGGCAACAACACAGCACATCTGACTCTACCAATTTTCCTGCATCTGTCATCATGCTGCATAAGAAATCACAAAGTTGAGATTTACAAGGCGTATGTCACGCGCGAGCATGTGTGCGTGCGTGCGTGGGTGGTGTGTGTGTGTGAGAGTGTCAGAGAGAGAGAGAGAGAGAGGGAGAGAGAGAGAGAGCCCCACCGGAGATTCTCCAGAAGACAACTCTAGCCAAATAAAACCACATCGACCATTGTCGGATTCAGGATTGCTTTCAGACCCAGTCACATTATTCAGACAAGCACTATAGCAGCCAACTGGCTCACCTGTGAAGGAAAATCAAAGTCAATGCCCACAGCATGTGAGTCATCTGAGGAACATTTTCCTGAAGACCCCAATCTTGGCATGGGCCAGCATTTCATCAATGTTCGACCAGTTGGTCACACAGGAATTTGTAAAATGAGTAGGGAGGGAGGGAGGGAGTGTAAGTTAGAAGTAGATCAAGCGAGTAGGAAGTGGATCAAAGTGACTGGTTTTATCATCCTTTGTATTTACTTTCCTCTCATAACATAGTCCTATATACAAAAGATATTACGCTTGTTGCGATTGAACAGGTCCAAGTAACAAGGTATGTGTCATTCATCGAGAAGCATCAGAAAGTAAATGTGCTTGACATTGAGCCCAAACGCAAAAAACAGACAGGTTTTATATATCAGTCAGGCATTTATTGCTTCACAGAGGCTCCTTACATACAAATGAGTTACCTCTCCCAATCTCATGGACGGTTAGTTCCAGCATGCTGCAATCCTGTAACCATAGGTAGGGATATTAATTAAATATACACTGGACTAACATAAAAGGATAGAACAGAGTTTGAAAATAACAAACCAACCAGACGTTCAGAAAGCAAAAATTCAGAACATCAATCATGTCAAAGTGTAATGCTCACAAAGGAGTTAATATGTGAAAACATACCCTTGAATTCAAGTGAAAATGAACCAAGTACAAAGCAAATCTAACAATTTAAGAGTGCACTTGACAAGGAGATACTATCAACATGCATGTATGATTTGATCAAAGGAGCTATTTGGAAGCTTAAAAAAGTAGTGAAGCTGCACGTGTAATCATTTAATTACAACTACGACATATCTAAAGAAAATGATTAGCTGCAGAGGCAGATACGTAAAATTAATGCAATGAGAAACAAAATAAATACAAGTGTGGACAAACAGAAAATAAATAGTTTCTAAAAGTAAATAATGAAAAAACATAAGTATCACTCTGATTTGATTATTGTAGTTTGTTTCACGTACACTAGCAGAAGCATGCGTATGTACAGGAATCAATATCAAAAGTAATTCCACATCTAGCAATCCTATATCTATCAAACCCCAGCTATACAGAAGCAAATTTTTTACTACTTTAAAAGCTCGTTTAGATACAAACCACTGAGTCGACTTTGAAGAAAAATACTTCATGCCACTTCACAAATTCAACATCTGAAGATTCAGAGTCATCTGATCCAGTTCCACGAGTTCGTGCAAATTGTTGATTTAGGTGTGATTGGCTAGGGTGACTCTGATCATCATAAACCCGAATTCCAACATTGTACTGACGGGAGCCCAAGCCTTCTGGCTTCAGGAGCTGCAAATTCAAGGACAGTACAAAGATGCAGGACAAGGAACATCAACACTGATATTGTCAACAACAAATCTGTTCACATCAGTAACTTTGAAAAGATAAACAAATATAAGCAGCATTAAGCAAGGTTTTAACACAGTTAACTGGTAAATATCTCCATCTATTATCCATCATTAATATAACAAATATAAGTAGTTTCATTTTTTTTTTTTCTCCAGACATAAGGAATAATCACTTCATACACAGAACAGCAGGACTTTTGAGGGTACTTTGACATAATACTCAAATAATGCCCTCGTGACAACACAAACAATTATGTGACGATAGCTACATATAATTGTAAGTTTCAGTCATATTTTTATCTGGGATTCAGATTCAGCCAGTAGGGTGAAGATGGTCTTAGTGCCTCTATAGAAGTGTAATGTGCAGACATTTGTGTGCCTCATTCACAACTGGAACCTAGACCATAGGAAAACTATACAAAAGGAAAGGAATGCCAAGTAGTTCGAGGTCCCAGCTGATATATATAATATCACTAATCAGGTTGACAACTGCAAAATCTGACTAATTACGTGAAGCCATAATTTGGACATCACATGTAACGCCCAGATTTTTAATTACTTTTTATGGAGCTCGACTATATTTCCATAAATATTAAGTTTCTAAATTTGATGCATTTATTATATTTATTTGCATTAAGTTAAATAATTAGTATTAAAGTCTAAGCCATTAATAATTCTTCCGACTTTAATTATTAAAGTTGGAATTTTATTTAAGTGATCCGATGTCGGATAATTTAATTATTCGAGCTTAATTAATTTTGAGCGAATCCAATAATTCAGTCGGCCATTTTAATTCGAATAGTCGAATTAATTCCCTATACCAAACGATATTTTAAATATCGAGCCCTTTAGTATTTTAATTCCGGGCCCAACATTTAATTTCAGTCCAAGTCGAAATTTACTACAAGCCTCATATTTTATTTAACCGATTAATTTAATTAGTTCGAGTTCGACTAATTTTATTAACCGGACATTAAAAATTCCTAGTCCTTATTCGATGTTAAATCGAGCCCAAGCGTAGAATTTTTACTAGCCCGTTTATGTAGTAAATTTAGGCCCGACTATCAAGCCCGGTTCTTGGCCCAACAAGAGGAAACCCTAAGCTCATATGTACATCTATATATAGCATGTCTCCTATTTTCCAACACAAACCCTAGCCACCTTTCTACTATTCATCATCCTCCCCACTTCATCTTCTTCATCCTCAAGCTATTATTCAAGATCCCTTCTACATCCATCTCCAAAACTCAAGATCTATGGCTTAAGCTTGGAGGTTCCACCCTCATGTCCACTTTTCTTGCAAAAACCGACCAAAATCCGGCGAGTTTTCCGGCGAACCCGCAGCCCCCAGCTCGCGCGTCCCTCCACGCGCCGCCGTCCCGCTGCACCTCCAAGCTCTATTTTTCCAGCGACTCAAGCTCAAGGCCGTCCTCCTCAGCTCCGAAATTGCAAGCCCCGTCGCGACCAGCTCCAACTCCGTCCGGCCCGAGTCCGTTTTCCGTCGAGCTCCCCTCAGGCCGACGCCACCACGAGCTCGCGACGGCAAGCCGCGACCACCTGCTCCATTTCCGTCGGCGACGAACATCGCATCAGCTTCGTTCCTAGCTCACCACCGCGACATCAGCCCCAGTTCGCGAGTTCGATCAAGCCCTGCTCCATTTCCGGCGACCTAGCCCGTATCCCAGCCCGCGCGTCGCCACCACGCGCCGCCACCCTCTTCGTCTTCTCCGGCGAGACGAGCTCTTCCTCC